GCTGGACTTGAGTAGACCCCCCCAGCTGTGAGGAGAAGCCCCTAGAGTGCATCCTAAGTGCCCAGGAGGGTTCACCAGCAATCACATTATGGAACAGAGATGGACCTGATCCTCTCTGTGCCTAATGAAGATATGCCTTTATCTACATGTCCCCTAGCCCATGTTTATTTAATATGTTCCTAATAATCCCGTGTGGTGGGGACTTGACAACCTCCCCAGGCACCTCTGTCAGTGGTTCCCTGGCCTTACTGGAAGCACAGTATTCCTTGGATCTTTTCCCCAGAAGCTGAGGCTGCTCTTGTTCCTTATGCCTTGCTTAGGCCTACACCTTATTCTTAGCAATATCCTTCATTTACCTGGGGATAAAAAACCACTCAACATTTTTTAAAAAACTTTTATGCTGCAGATTTCTAATCCCTCCTCTTGATTTCCTGCAGACTGTCTCTGACAGGCCTTCATAAACAACCCCACTTTTCAATCTAGCAAGTCCTAACTCTGCTTTGCACTCCACAGCTGGAAAGCAGAAGGTGGCTCTCAGCCTTTAGAGTCACCAGGGATTGCAACCTAGATAAAACATTATTTTTTTGCCAGCTAAATTATTTTAATTAAAAACAACATGAAAGAACAAACTCTATGGTTACAGAAGGTCACAGCTTGTTCTTGTACATGACTAGAGTTCCAGCTCCTGCTGGTTTCTTGAGGAGGCAGTAGGGACCACAGCTATTTGCACCTGTGCTAGGTTTTACTTTAGTCTGAAAGGGTTTCAAGAAAAGCCCTTCAAGGAAAGCAGTCTTTAGAATCATAGGGTAGTTTGTGTTGGAAGAGAACACTTAAATACAAGAGAGTGGGCATGCAAAAGGAAGAGGGATTTTAAACATACCATAACTCAACTACTGTTTATCACAGGAAGGTTGTCCATATACCAGTTTTTGAAAAAGATAAGCAAGGTAGAGTAAGATAGATTGGCAAGCAAAAATCTCCTGAGGATTAATATGACTAAACGAGACCAGAGAACCCTGGATTCTATGTCTTTGACCAGAGAACCCTGGATTCTATGTCTTTGACACAAAAAACAATCAGAAAGAAACAGTGCAAATGGCTTCAGAACATTGCTCCAAAAGCTTCAGAGCAATTGTAATGCTCCATTGCTGATTCTGTATTTACTACTTAGCAATTGTAGCGCTCCTTTGCTGGCTCTGTATTTACTGCTAGCACTTCAGGGACTTGTCACAGCTGTTTCACACTAACTTGTAAGACAAAAATTGATAATAATCTGAACCTTTTGAAGGAGGAAGATGCCTTTTTTTTTTAGATGCTGCTGACATCTTACAAATTCTCACGCTTTTCTGACAGGAAATAGTCTCTGTTACATTGTAGAGATAAATACATTCCCAATGTAGTTATTTAAAAATTTGCCTTCCTGCAATTCATAACCTTATTTTGTTCCTTTCAGCATTAAATTCCCATATTTATTTAAAAGTAAGTAGAAAAAAGTCACAGACATGAAATTGTAGTTCATTTCACACAGGTCATAGATGTGCTGTCATCAGCCCTGTGTGGAAGGATTTCCCAAACAGGTTTGTACCATTGCAGACACATCCCTACTTTCTGAAACTATGGCCTTCATTACAAATGAAGTCTCCTTATTTCTATAAGCATAAGGAAAACTTTCACATTGCTACAGAGAGTAGAAAGGATATAAGACATAAAAACTTAGCAGATGTTGGACTCCTCTTCATGACTGAAATAACACAGATAGAAAAGGGAGCCAAGAAAGCAGTCTACTTCCCTTTCTTCCCTTTGTCACAGGAATTATCAATTCTTCTTCAAAGAAGTTGCCAGCAATGAGAAGGTAACATCAGTTGCAAAAATCAGTCTCCTACTAAATCAGTCACTGTAAAGGCAGAACATTTCACACAGTCCCAAGTAATTAGTAATACTAATTAGTAATACCCATAATTTTCACCTCAATCACAGAAAGTCTAGCACTTTCTTCTTAAGCCTGCTTAGTATCTCCAAAAGGCTGCTGCCTTCCCAAGAAGGCTGCTACACTCCACAGACTGCCTTCTTTGGCTGTAAAGTTCTAGAGCACCAGAAACCCACTGAAAGCTTTCCATCCTTCCATTGGGTCTTGATAAAGAAGATTTACCACTCATTGACTCCTATCTGAGCCTGGCTTTGCCAAGAATTCCTAAGGCCTTTGAGGCCGACAGACACATCACTAACTTGAGCAAAAATAAAATGGTGAGAGATGATGCCCACAAAGTCAAGAAAGCAATAGCAAAGTACAATATTCTAGATGCCAATCAACATGATTTGACACATCACTGACCAGTTGTCCTTGAACAAAGCAAAAAAGTACTTTCTACATTTGAAAATTGCTAATGTGGGTGGCAAGCTGAAGTAAGACACAAAAACATCTGTCATTTATGGGTGACTATAAATTTCATGAAATATCTTTATGATGCACACTAATGGCTTCACAAATTATTTCTCCACTACTTAGAACTGATAACACTTTATACATTACTCAACAGGCACTAGCTTGTTTTTTATTTATCTCTTACTGTTACTTCCTATGATTACACCACAAGACCACCAACCACTCTTCATGTTAACAGCTGCAATTATAGACAATGAATCATCTTCATAGTCTACATAGTGCATGCAACATATTATGGAGGGCTAAGCAGTTAGTTAAACCACAAGAATACTGTATGACTTTGCTAGGCACTTTTAAAGTTAGTCCTGATAGGTCTGTAAGTGTAAAACTACAGCTAAAATGCTTCTTACTGTAACATGGAAGACAGGTGCATAGCAAACCACCTGAAAAAGTGAGAGAATGTACATAATTTAGTCAACATCAGACTGAAATACATCATAAGGGTTTGCATGCAGCTTCCTCAGTGAAAAGCATGCCTGACATCCCTCCCTCACCACTGAGAACCATAACTCAATGTGCTATGCATGTCAGCAAAGAGGATTGCTGGAAAGATTATGCCTGGTGTCTCCTTTCATTGAATTCATGTCAACTTTTGACCCTAAGTTACATTAATCTAAAACAATTTTCTGGTTCACACCTACCTACTCTGTCTGCCCCAGACAGCGGTTAAGGTAGCCATTTCCTCTGAAAACAAGACTGGCAATATGGACTTCTAAATAATCTCAGCTTTATGCCCTCTATAGTACAATCTTACAATGGAAGAATTACAGTGGAACCTCTACTTCTAGTACTTAAGCCAGCGTACAAGATATACTGTTTTCTTCACTATACTAATGAGACAAAAAAGACCCCCTTCCCTGCATGGTATTTTAAAACCCCCACATATAAAAGTGGTTCTTAAGTACACAATAGTGATTTACTAAGTAAGAGAGATTTCCCCCTCTGGAAAAAATAGAGACAAAGGAGAGGAAAAAAATAGAGAAAAAAATAAAGAAAAAATTAGAGATTTTCATTTGATTAAAGAGATTTTGATTTGATTAAGAAAAAATGAGATTTTGAATCTCATTAATCTAGTATATTGAAATTATTACACATGAAATGATACACATGTATTAACAGGATGAAAACATACCAAAGCATTCTCTACTGTTTTACTTCATTGTCAGAATAATATATTTTGCATTTGGAACAGGTGGAAAATTGGCAAAACCCAAGCTTAATTTTCTCTCTTGATTTTAACCAAAAGGTTATTGTAATACTTTTTCTTGTTTGTTGTTTGGCTTGAGCAGCAAAGCGTATCTGTTTTAAATGGTTCTGAAATATGATACTCAATTTTTCAGTAAAATGACTGAGAATAATTGTCTCTACTTATAGCCACTCAATCATTTCCAAATCAGCTTACTTGACAAGTAGAAAAAACTGGTTTTTCCCAACTTTTGGACCCATAACTTATGATACATACATTTCTGAGCTACCTTTATCTTCTGCATGCTTTAGAATTAGGGACATAAAATAGCAGACGTTAAAAAAATCCCTAAATTTCTCATTCAGAGAAGCCATGCTTTTATACATGAAAACAATGCCTGATTTAGGGGTTTGTAAACTGTCCTTTCATTTTAAAAAAATTTAAAAGTGGAAAGGGAAATCACATAGAAACTACATTTTAATTGGAACACATTACTATTCAAAATCTTAATATTCAGAAATCAGGTCTAATCTACTATGTGATTGTTGTTAAAAATAGTTACTTTCCCTCATTTTTCATAGCATGTGACACTCCTAGATCTCCACACTGCCAATCCATGCCCCATGTGCTTCTCTCATGGGCCATCTTCCTCATGAAGATGGGGAAGATACGACACAACACACTCAGAGGCATCTTGCTACTCTCTGTGGCCCCAAGGTGCAGAGATCCACTGTAAAGACACATCAGAACTATCACACAGTTCAACACTGCTACTGGGTTGCCCCCTCAGCATAAGCCTAAGGCTCTTTTTGGCCTCATATCAAGAAAAGAAACGGCTTAAGACACAGCTATTGTCAGTGTCTGACCCTGTGATGTGCACCAGCCACAGCCACCAGTGGACTCACAACACTTGATGGCCCAGCTACTGACTCCGGCACCCCAGCTGTTTGCCTAAGCTCCCTCTGTAGTCAAGGGAGAAAAACTGGTATGCTTAAGATACTTTCACCTGTTCTATATCAAACCTTTAGGATAAGAGAAAATCATGTCCTAAAAACACCAGTTTCTCACCACTGACTGTGGAAGAGTTCTAGACAACCGGCTTAAATATGGACATAAATAATAGAGATTGATTGCACAGGTCTTACAGTCACAGCCAGATGAAAACATTTTATTAATTCTTATGAAGGATGACTTTACTTTGAAGCCTAATGTCATTTAACACTGAAACCTAAATAGATACAGTTTAAAAACATCCACCTGCAAATGTAAATCAAATGACTTTTTTATAGACCAAAGGAATCATAAAGAAACATGAATTAAAATAATCATAGTCAAGGTGAAACAAATTGCTATTTTATTCAAGAAACTCACCTTATTTCCATTACCAAAGAAGAATTGATTTTCCAACCTTCTGCAGCATGTTGGAAAATTGAGGAGCCACCCTTTTGAATTATCTTATCGGAGCTATTGATCATTGATCTACTCAAACTCAGTACACCATCTCTGCAATGCAATATAGAAAGCACATAATTACATAAAGATAACACCAGTTTAAGTAATTTACATCCCAAGCACCAGCAATATATCCTTTTATTCACAAAAAAATAAGCAACTATCTCTTAGCTTTCTAAAGAAAATAAACTGTAACAGAAAAAAATCTATGACACAGGTATCTGTAATAGTTAAATATGCAAATTAGGAACTTAAATTTGTTTATATTTGTAATGAATAGTCATAACAAGAACTACAATAAACTCCAAATTGTGAATCTGGACAAAATTTCATTATGATTGTGAGGCAGATTCCGGACTTCTAGGTTCCAAATTTCTAGTAGTAAACTAAGAATCAAGTGTTACATTTCAAGCGTTTGCCTAGCTCATAATCTGCAATACTGGTTTAACAGATATTTTTGGCCTCCTGCTTAATAACGATAAAGATTTTTAAGTATGGAATTTTGGAGCTTAATGATATACAAAATACAAAATTTTCCTAACACTTCATGAAACTTTTGCTTGCACACATCCAAAACATTCCAATTGTCTTATCCTGTCCATCAGTCATACTATTGTAACTTTTTGACAAGCTAATCTTAAAAGAAATAAATACAGTAAGCTTTGGGTGATGACCACTCAACACCTGGTGAGCTAGCACAAGCTGCAGTGATATTAGCCAACAGGATAACATAAATGAGACAAAGAAGCCAAATACTACAAGCACAACTTAAGGTGTTACGACTAAAACTCATTTTTATCTCCACATCTTTCCATTATCATCCATAGTGTATCATCCATAGTCTTTTAGATACCAGAGCAATGTTCAGTTGAGTTTAAACATGGCCGTTCATCACAAATGTATCAAAGTTGTTGGAGGTAAAAGTCCACCACAAAAAAATGTCTTGTAACTCAGGTGTGCACAGGACAATAATATACAGAAATGTGTTTGTCTGTTAAATAAGCATGCTCTGAAATACTGCCAATAACAATAACTTGGAAACAGAATATCTGACCCAGGCCCTTCAAGGAACAAAATGGTAAAGATGTGAGACTGAAAGCTTTCCAGAATTGCTGACTTTTGTTTTTCTGTGGCTGTAAGCTTTGATAACAATGGTATCAGAGCCCTTAGTAAGAAACAGCAACATAACTGGCTGTATATAAAGCAATAATACTTAGTAAAATATACCACAGACTAAACACAAGCAATAGAAAATTAATTAAGGACAATAGGACATTAATTAAGCTAAATTAACAAAACTGGTAATATGCAGTAATTTCTAAAATGTGCTGTCATTGCAAAAGCCCCTATAACTAACAAACCATTACCATACTCTTCACCAAAACCATCCTGCATTACTTGCAGCTCCCTTTCTTCCTCACCCTCATGCCAACACCCTGCAGCCCAGACATCACACTGGTGCAGAGGTAAGGCTGCCATCTACCAAAAACCTACAACTTTAGGTTCATGACCTGTATGCAAATTACCCAAATCCTGCTAACTTGAATTCACAGGAAGATGCTGCAGAAGTCCCTAAATCCAATTGCCAGAATCCAGCTAATACCTTTTGCAATATTAAAATTTTTTATTCTCTAAAACTTTTCCAAAATCATTGTAATAATATTAATTACATATATATTCCTGCATATATTTTCTACATGCATTGAGTGCATGCATCTAAAGGAAAGTGACCAAATTACATCCAGGTAAAGCTCTCAGTCTAAGGATATTTCAGAGACGTCTCTAGTTTACTCTAGATTAAATATTATTTATACACACTTGAACAGTGAAACAAGTGACAAAACTTAGTAACAAAATGCACTGCTAACACTTATACCATAGCACTCAATACGTGGCTGATTTCCATAGTCACAATTTACAACTGCAGTGAATTACACAGATTGTACGTTGAAAAAATGTTAGATTATGTTCTTATGAAAGAAGATCCTAAGCACTTTGTGTTAAAGTTATTACTATGAATACGATTCTGCTCATTTAGATGCTCCTCTCCCCTTTATTACATTAATTTTCACATAAAATAATATTAAATAAACTAATACATAAAAATCAAAACTTTCTCCAGGTAATTCTTCATTGTGTAAATAAATGGAAGAAATGTGGATTATTTTGTATCTTCTAGAATCATTGCAAATCCTCTCTAATATAACTGAAAGAACTGCCATACTGTGGCAGCAACTTACAACTGATAGTGTCAGCCTTCACTTTGGATTACCTTGCCTTGGTGACCAATCAGACCTATATAACAAGACTCTCTTCTCTTGAAGATAGTTCATCAAATAAAGTAACTGACTTCAAGTGTATTCCATTTTAGTAGAAGATGACACTGTCTAAGCAACGCTACTCTGCCCATAGCATGCATGCTTCATTACTTGCTTAACCTCTAAAGGGAAATTACTGTCTATTTGAAGTAGGGTGCACTTCACAGTAACTGTCCTAGCACACTTCTCTATGAAAGTGCACAGCTGGTTTAGAGGTTCTCATGTAATTTGGAATTGTATATAGCCAGTCCATTTTGAGTTGTCTGGTGCCACTAATAAGCAAAAATAAAATGGGCCACCTCGTACATCCATAACTTCTGAAAGTAAAATAACCCATGGAAAACTGACTTTGCTTGCCCACATGACCAGTCAAAAATAACCCAACATCCCAAACCCCTAATTCAGGAGAAAGGAAAGTGTAACATCAATAGAGGCAGTAGTGATGAGCAATACATTTTTAGGCTATTTATTTTGCTTCATACGGTAATGAATGGGATGACAGGCTGTGAAGAGAAAAAACATTTCCATAGTGAAAGTGAGTAGTACCATACAGCACAAGAAGTCTCCCTGATAAAGAAATAGAGATATCACAATGACTAGTCAGAAGTATATTATAGCTGTATTTTAAAAGGTTTGTTAGGAACATGTGTATTTATAACTAAACACACTTGTTTCCTTCCATTTAATATTAAAACAACAGTTCATTTTAGTAAGGTTTTAAGTTGTGTCAAACAATGTGCAGTGAGTAGAAGGCAGTTTTTTTCATTTTGAACTGATATGAAGTGATTTCTGAACAATTTCATCAGTTCCTTCTAGTCTGAGAGGAAGGAGCACATACTAAGAAACATGGGTATCAATGACAATTCTACCTCACATGTTCATTTTCACATCTGTTTTCACATAGCTGTAACCCCAAATTTTAAACTTCTGTATATCTCCTAAGAATACAGATAGGTTTGTGGTAGAAACCGGGTTACACCCAGGTTGAACAAGAGGAAGAGATACCAGAAAGCTGTAAAAATCTTGAATAAAAAAGGAAGTAAATATTGCACACACAGGTGAGGACAGCCCTTGCCCTCAGCATGTGCCGGGGCGACAGCTGCCCAGCCGTGCTCAGCTGCCTGTGTCCCCTTCCCTCACCAGACTGCCTGAGAAAAAGGGATGTGCTTTGTCTTTAACTCCCGGGGCCAAGTAGGCTGTAATTGCCTCAGCTTCCTCCAGGCCTGTACGGGTACTTACAACCCCGTTATGCCTCCTCCTTAAATTACGGTAAGGGCTTACACAGGAGGACAAAAATCTGCGGTGAAAGAATTCTACCCACAGTCGACATGCACAAACAAATAGAAAGTGTGAGTTTCTACTTAGCTTTTATCGATTACATTGAACGACCAATAAATTTATGCATTGCTCCAGAGAAAACAAAATCTTATACATCTAGATGGAAAAACCAGCTTAGCTGAAAACCCAGCATCTCCAGAGAACAGCTGAAAGATGGGAGAAAAATGAGGAATGCAGGATGAATTCACATACATAAAGAGAAAGCTGAGGTGCAAAGATAAAAATGCCCTTCGTTTTGAGTCAACCACAGGCAGCAAACGGAAAGAGTATGTAACAAATGATCTCAGCGAGGGACCAGACTTTCCAGTGGAGGAAGCTCGAGATCTAAGAGACCTACACTTTTCTCAGAGCAAGAATCCTTACGAAAAAGCCAAGTTAAGCACAACTTCCAGGCAAACATCAAAGACGGAAGCAGACGTTCACCCGCATCCCACCACGCCTGACTGCGAAAGGCAAGAAACCGAGGCACAACGAGCTCTAGCGACCTCGAGCCGTCCCGGTCTCCCGGGCAGCCGCGGACAAGTGAAACTCCCCAGGAGCGCCCCGTTACGGCGGCTGAGAGGCAACTTCCGAAGCAGGGCAGCTCCTGTCCTTTCCCGTGCACTCGCACCCATCCTCGGCCGCCGAGCCCCGGCAGCAAGCCCCACTCGCCACTCGTCCCGTAGCAGCATCCGGGCCCTCGGGCAGTGCCCGTCAGCGAGAGCGCCGAGCTGCGCCGGTATCGCAGGCTGCGAGTCACAGCCCGAGTAGCGCCGGAGCACCTGACAACCCCTACGGCCCAGCCGCCCTCTCGGATCGCCCTCCCGTCACGGCACCCCGCAGTTACCCGGCGAGAGCTGCCTCCTGCCGCTCCTCGGTCCGTGTTATTTCCTTCGTCTTATAGAAGATGAGGAGGAGACTTATGGTGCACACAGTCCACCTCTTCCTGACGGAACGCATGTCTTCTGCGAAACGTGGCCCCCTCCCCCTTTTCCTTTGTTTATCAGGGGTGTGCTGGAAACAGCTGCACACGCGGCACGAATTGTTAAAAACACGGCGATGTATTTTTTGGTTATTTTTTTCCGAAATAATTACAGGAGATAAAATAAAACCAGGCAGAAACAGAGGCTGGAGGTTCTTTGGCGTTTAGTTTGTCTATCTTTTGCCCTGCAAGGCAGCTGGGCTTGCAAGCTCGCCTCGGCCGGGGAGACGAGTCCGCGGCGTCGCTGGGCGTTAGATGAGCAGGGCCGAGCCGAGAACCGCTCCGCGGGTCCCCCTCCCCATCCAGACCTGCTGCAGAGCCCCTCGGCCGAAGGTGCGGCCAGTGCCGCCCTCGCCGGGGCGGGGGTGGGGGCGGGCGAAGCGTGGCCAATGCAGACAGAGCGGGTGGGGCCTTGGCGCGGGGAGGAGGGCGGAGGACGCGGGCGGCGCCGGCGGGGCGAGAGGAGGGGGCAGAGCTCCGCGGGCGGCTCCCCCGGGTTTGAAGAAGGCTCGCCCTTCTTGCCTGGGTCATGTCCGTTGTGTCCGTGTTGCCAGCTGGGCGTCTGAAAGTGAGAGCGAAGGACTGCCAATTGCTGTGCCGCAGAAAAGGAACACACTTCAGTGAAGGATGAGGGATTTTGGTCATTGGTTATTTTTTTTCCCCCTCGTTCCCGGTATGGTTGATTGTGGCTCGAACAAGGCACTGGGGGTTTTTCCCGGTCTTACTGTCCCAAAGCCGCAGGAGAAGGCGGGAATGCAGACGGGAAGCGACGTGGCTCCCGCACAGACCCGCCTGGAGTCCGGCCAAATCCACCGCCCATGCCGCGCTCTCCAGGGTCAGGGTCTTGTTTCATCCACACCGCCTCAATACGGCCGTTATTTTCCTAATTTCTGCTGTGACAGTTTCTCTGAAATGCAGGGGAAAAAAAAAAAAAAAAAAAAAAAAAAAAAAAAAAAAAAAAAAAGACACCCACGAAACCCGTAAACGAAACAAAAACCCCGAACCTTTGAGATGGATAATGCCACATGAAGATTAAATTATTGGCTAAATCCGCTTTTCTCGGTACTGTTTGCCTTTTTCAAAGTGAGTGAACTGGAACTATGCTAATTCTGTGTGACAGGGATCTGCCCACAGCCCTTATGTTTGCTCTTACAGAACAAGTAAGACCACTATGACACACCTCCCACAGGGATCTAGGAAGGCTTTGATGGTAAATTTAGTGTGACTTCTCTTTCCTAGCTTAAATTACAAGCAAGAGCTCATGGGATGACAGAACCTTCCCTGGGTCTATTTGGTCTGCTATCTTGTGTCCAGAACTGATCCATGACATTTCACAGGCGGATGCAAAGAAATTTGGAAGAACGCATCCTTCCTTTCTAGGAGAGTACTCCCTCACAGGCATGAGGAGTGAGGAAATGTTAGAGAAGTTGTTGAAAATCTTAAGGCTACTAATAGTAGCCTTTCAATTTCAATCAATTACCAACTGATTTTTGTAAAAATCAGTTGAGTGTAGTAAAAAAAAGTTTTAATTCAGTCTCAGTAGAATGGAATAGAAATTTCAGTTTCCTTCCACACAAGCTGCATTTTCTTCTGCTCTTCTCTGCTGTGGCTCTAATAACTTAGTCTCAGAAAGTGATCTCTCTAAGGCATCAGCAGCAAAGGGAGAAAAACCCATTCTATCTGTGAGAATGAATTTCAAATTTCCCATTGTATAATACCTGACATTCTTAAAAAAAAAAAAAAGCTGATTCAATGCAAAACTCTACTTAATACCTTTGTAAAAACTACATGACATGTTTAGCCTAAAAGTAAGGATGTCAATTCTATTGAATATCTGTGATATTTTTATACCTTATATAATTTTTGTATATTAGATTATTTTTGTATTTAGATAGACTAATTGAAAATAGGCAAAATGTACATAGAGGATCCCGAATTCAGCCATGTTCAGAGGTAATTTTACTTGATTACATCCTCAACTGCCAAAGGCAGCTTATGATACAGTTAGCCACAGCAGCTCTTTGGTTTCATGCCAGACCACATGTAGGTTCAAAAGAAAACAGTGTTGCCTCCATCATCTTCTCCTCTACCTACTGCTGCACTTCTTCCTCCCTGAAGGTTAAAACTCAGCTCCCTTGCTGCTTCATGAGAACTAATTCTCACTCAACACAAGAAATCCCTGCCTGCGTCTAAGACAGTTGAGAATTGACAGTAATGTTCCTGCTGTGCCCAGCAGTGTACTTTTCTTTCCCTGCCTGGCCTGGTTGCAACCAGTCTGACTGAAATTGACAAAAAATTGTTCAAGCTCCTAACCATCAAGACTCAAAAGGATTTTTCCAGTTACTACAATGAAAAACTGTCAGTTCATACTTGGGTAAAACATGGAGAAAACCACTTCTCAACAAAAGCACAATGCACATAACAACCTGTGGCATTTTCCTGAAAATTTCAGCTGTTCCCATGCCTGTCATTCTACTAACATGAAAACATACTTCTGGGTCAGAAAAGGACTGTGGCATCTTCAGACGTAAACCAGCTCATCCCCTAGAGTGATTCACTGTCTTCACCTCCCGTCCATGCCATTCAAAGCTCTAATGTTAACTATGTAACAAGGACCCAGAGTCTCAGAAGCTCCTTAGAAGTGGATCCAGAACAAGTTCCCAATTTGTTCATTCCTCTTCCAAATCACTCCTGAGCTTTCATTCAGAAATAGACTTACAGCTCTGACTAAAATGAGGAGGACCCTCTCAGCTGTTCTGCCCTTCCTTGGGTTTCCCTCCTGGTATAGTTTTATTCTCTACTGAATTCTCTACTTAAAACTACTATAGTTTTATTCTCAAGTAACAGGCAGACACAAATAATACATATATGTATAGCACATATGTAATATAATTCAGCCAGATGTTACATTTAATTTACAATGATAGAATTAATATTTTACAGAAAATGAGTTTACTGTGCAGAGTTTAAATATTCATATTTAGTATTTCACCAATTCCTTTATCTTTGTACCACTACAGCAGTTCATACTTCTAAAAAGCTATCTAAATTATGCCTTGAAATTATTTCCCCTTTCTCATACATCCTAATGATATTTAAATCACTAATTAATTTAAATGTTTGAATAGCATTTATATCAAATAGTATGATTTATTTTACATTAATTAGAGGCATGGTGTAGCTCTGTGAACCAGAAACATGCTCAGTAAATCCTATTTTGTGGCATCTGGTGATAATAGTAGCATTTCTTTCACGAAGACTACTGGAGGAGCAAAAATGTGAATAATACAAATAATCTTGCATTTAAGCATTTCAAATTTCAGACTGCTAATTAGTTTCTATGGCAAAGAGTTCTTGAAGAACTGCATTTCATGCTGAAGATGGTGCCTAGAAAGATGAAAAAAATAAGTTTGTTAATGCATATTATCATATAAAGTCCCTTTTTCATTAAGAGTATTTCATGTTTTATGTAGGTGGCCAGAAATCTCTTCTGAATTAGTTCAGGCTGTTTTATCCCTGAGGATAAAGAAACACTAGAAGAGATTTCCAGGGGAAGTTGTATCATTTCTATCCCTAGTTGTCTTTAGGACCAAGTTACACAAATCTGGGTTTTTAACTCAAAGTGGAAGGATGAATGAGGTAAGTTTGTCAGGTACCCTTAAACTATTTTTTTTACCCTGTAATATTAATGTCAATCTATCAAATTACAGTGAATACAGATTTCTGATTCCTATATAGTAACTTTCAACAAAATACACATTATGTAAAGGTCATGTGTACATGCTTTTATTTCAGGAGCAGGCAAGACTGTGCGGCATTCTTGCATTTGCTTAACAACATTGACTCTGATTTAATCCTATGGAATGTATTTAGTAGTATTAACAATTAAAAAAAAAATTTTGTAAAAAACCCAGCTAAAACAATGAATGGTGCTTTGTGAATTTATAAGTACTACTGCTACTTTAATCTTTTGTCATTGCTGACTTCAATATCCTTCATATTTTCATTGATGGTTTAAGCAAAGGCACCAGATATCCCACTAGTTGCTTATGACTAATGTGCACAGAACACTTAAAACTTACAGAATTGCTCATACAGCCTAAATTTGAATATTTTGTATGCTTCTGATTATCATCATCTAGCACACTTTCATCAAAATGTACACCTCTTGAAATATTATCTCTTCCTCTTGTAGCAGAAGTCCAGTATTACATTTTTGACCTTACTGGCATTACAAATAGCATCACATAAAATACTTCATAATTATATGCAACAGCTTTCCATAGGCAGCAGAATAAAAGATAATGCACTAAGGTGCATTTTTTTGCATAGTTATTCTACCATATAGGACTCATGGTTTGGGTTGGTGGATGTTAAATTTCTCGTGATGTTCAGAGGCACAAAAGCCAGGTCAGAATCCATATTCCCATTCACTTTCCTGTCGGATCGGTGGAAGAAATGCGGCACACAATATGCGTGATCAGCAAGTCTCAAACTTTATTGATAGTTCACACATATTTCTATTGGTGGAAGCTTAAACATATTGCAAAGCTGAGCTCATTATTGGTTAATTACTTATTGGTCAACCACACCTACTTCTATACTCTTATGGTTATTTTGTTACTACTTCTACATTCTTGTGGTTATTCTGCTGAAACTATCCTCATATTTCTGGCAAAAGATCCTCTCCTCTATCCAGTTGTTGCAGCAAGGACACAATGCCCTTGTCAGTGATTGGACACTGACTGCTAAATCCTAGACTTGTCTCCTTCTAACTTAACCAACGGTATCATGTCGACGTGACCTTTCTCAGCTAGCCTACTGTCCACAAAGCTCTCCACATTTCCCCCGTTTTTCTGTTGAACAAGCATGGTCTGATTGAATGCGGCAGATATCATCTTTTGCACCATGTTCTGTAGGCATATGCAAAAGCATGGCAAAATTAATACTAGTAACAAAGCTATAATGCCCACTATAATGCCAACCTTAACAATAGAGCGTAACCATGATCCCAGGCCTAATGATTTGAGCCATCCATCAATACCAAGGCCCGATTCTACCTGTAGGTTTCCAGTTAACCTCTGCAACTCAGAGAGTTGGGAGTGAATGGACTGTGAATGATCAGAAAGATTAATGCAACACATGCCCTCAAATTCTTCACAACCATGGCCTTGTGCAAGTAAAAGAAAATCGATTGCAGCTCTATTTTGAAGTGTCGCATGGCAAATAGAATCAACATCAAGCAAAAGGCTAG